GATGCTATCTGGAATACTCCCATTCAATTGATTGCCAAAAAGATCTATGCTCTCTAACTTAGAAAGTTGCTCGAGGCTATTTGGAATACTCCCACTCAATTGATTGCTAGCAAGATTAAGACATATCAAGGAAGTCATGTTTTGGAAAAATATAGGTATTGAACCTTGGAAAAAGTTAGCTGAAAGATCTAAGTGCTGAATATTGCCAAGCAATGTAAAATTAAGGGGATGGTTGTGAGATGACAAGTGACAATTTCTGAGACTACAGCTTGACAAATGTAATTGTGATAGAGAAGGAAGCATGCCAAGTACTTGAAACAAGTTTGATGATGTAAGGCTTAGATTTACTCCACTCATATCAAGAAATGTCAATGAAGTCATGTTTTGGAGAAAAATAGGTATTGAACCATAAAAAGAGTTATGTGAAATATCAAAGTGTTGAATATTTCCAAACAATGTAAAATTAAGGAGATGGTTGTGATATGGAAGGTGAGAATTTTTTAGATTACAATTCGACAGACTCAACCATGATAATGAAGAAAGCATGCCAAGTACCTGGAACAAGTTTGATGAAGCATGGCTTAGATTTACTCCACTCATATCAAGTTGTTGCAAAGAGGAGAGACGAGAAATCCACTGAATGTCATCATCAACCTTCAATCTCCCATAATAATTATGAGAAAGATCAAGAACATGAAGCCTTGTAAGATTTCCAAGTTCACTAGGAATTCTCCCTTTGAATTGCGCATAAGAGAGATTTAGGTATCTCAGCTGCTTCATCAAGCCGAAGGAGGGTGGAATAAGATTACCACTGAAATTATTGTTGCTCAAGTCCAGATGTTCCAAGTATCTGAGCTTGAGCAAACTTGAAACAACCTCCTCTACATGGTCAATCAAGTACAATTGAGGTTGTTGATCATCAATAAAGGACGAATAAAGACGATCAGATATTGATCCCCTGAGTTGAAGTGAGACAACATATTCGTTATTTTTGTCACAGCCTACTCCTCTCCATTCACAACAGTCATTGCCTTTCCAAGAAGACAACATATGAGATGGATCATGGAAACATAGTTTGAATTTCAAGAGGGCTTCTCTCTCCCTTTCTATACAGCTAAAGCTCGTGTTCCAACTAGAACAAAGCTCTGCAGCTTCAAAGAACAATACAACAACTAGAACAAGCATAGCACGGAAAGTTTCCCTCATAATGATGGTTTCAATATTGTATGGAAGATGGATGTGATATTTAATTTTGCTTGTACATTAATATATAGTCCCATGGATAGGCAAATAAAACAACTTTCCCCGAAGTTGCACTAAAGATAAAGATTCCGAGTAAGTAATTTAAAGTAGCCTATTTTTGTATTTCGATCATGATCACTCGAGCGCATTCACCAAGACTTGGATGTCTTTTTGGTCCTTGTTGCTTTAAAGTCAATTTAATCGGTGCTTTCATTGTCCTTTTGCCCCACCATAATAATAATATAGCTTTTACAGGTCTTGTGCTACTGTTGTGCAACGTGAAGACTGGAAAATTTTGAAAAATGGCTTTCAATTCTTGGAGATAACTATGGTTCGTGAAAATTTCTTTCTTTTTACCAATAATGGAAATTTTTGGTCATCATGATTATGGTTTAAATAGTGTGGAAGATCAGATATTTGGATGATTTTTTTTCTTTTTTTTGATAACGGATGATTTTTAATTTTGGTTGCACATTAATATTATAATGGCAAATCTTAAGATCTTGAACTTACCCTATTCTTCGACGCTAAATTATCATTTTAGACTTACAAGCCCTTAACTCTGCCATTTATGCAGAAGGAAACCCTTTGCTAACGGTTCCGTTAGTTTCCGTAAAAAAATCCAACCACAGCAGTCAAAGAAAAGGGCTAAATTGTTGTTTAGTCAATATACTTTCATATTTAACAAAAAATGAGCACCTGTTTCTTCGGGCCACCTTAAAGGTGCAGTTCCCCTCCCTTGGTGGGTTCAAAGTTCGAATTCCATCCTTGTCACTTTGTTCAAAAAAAAAAAACAAAAAATGAGTTCTTTCATTTCTAACTAAATTTGCTAAAAAAAAATTAAAACAAGAAATAAAAAAAAAATCTTATGATAAAAAAGAAAAAGTCCTGAACATGGTTTCCATGTTACAAGTCCTGATAAATTTGTTCAACTTCATATTTCCGATGCATCTCAAAATCAACTTAAAAAAAAACAAAAGACTACAGTGAAATAAAATTTTGTTATTCAACTTGTTCTTTTTAAAATTTTAGAGATCCATATATATATATATATATATATAACTAATGGTAGCTCAATTTAATAAACAGTTTAGTAATTTTTATATTTTTTTTTTGTTTTGTCTATCATTTTTAATTCTTTTTGATCCTCATACTATCTTTTTTACTTTTATTTCAGTTTAGTTTAATCTGTTAATTTTTTAATAGTAA